TAGTATTAATTGGTTTAAAAAACAGTTGATTTAAATACAAATATAATGCTGTGTGGGTATACTTAAATCCTGTGAGTTTCGTACTTATATAAAAGTTTTAACGTATTTTCAAATAGTCTTTTTGTTCAATAAATAAAAAATATGCCTCCGAAACTTTCTCTAATGAAACAAACGAATTAAAAGCGATATTTAAATACACAATCCAATTAACAAACATTTATTTTTACATTCACATCTTTTTTGTTATACTTTAAACGATTACTTACGGAAATAAATTTCTCGTTACTGATTAAATTCGTACTTTAAAACGAGTTTTCATATATACAAGTCATATTTCATCGGAATTGAGTTGTAATGGCTGATTTTAAATTTATTAACATTAAATATAGGCATGTAAGTCAACTTTCAATGTTCTACTTGTAATCTGGTTTTATTTAATAACCCATGTCATTAAAAGATGCGAATGTTATGAAATTTCGTGAAATATATATCGCGGAGAAAGTTCCAGACGTCAAAAAAAGTAAAACAAAAACAAAAAGTCGACATTAATTAAATGATATATGCGACGAGTTAAAAAATGCCAAATTATACGGTTATTCTTAAAAACAAAATAATATGAAGCCTGACCACAATTTTACTAATATTATAAATGCAAAAGTTTAGATGGATGGATTTTTTTTTATAATATAAGATGGCAAACGTGCAAGCAACCACCTGAATCCACCGAAATGAAAAGCGACCGCTGCCCATAAACATCCGCAATTGCAAATGCGTTGCCTAGCTTTAATTGACGGAGAAGGAGACGCACGTAAAGAGGATATTTCCCATTCTTTCCTCTTAAGAAAAGGGTGGAAAGGTAAAGGGACTAAAAATAGGCCTCCGGATGAATGGATGTTTGTTACAGTTTGTAGCCTAAACTACTAAACGGATCCTGATTAAATTTGTCATAAATATAGACGATAGTCTGGAAGAACACATAGGCTACCTATTTTTGTTTTATTTTAAATTCCACGCGGATGGAGTCGCGAGCGAAAGCTAGTATTATATATTTCCAGGATTCTTAATATGGTTTGTCTAAATAAGAGAACTATTGTTACAAAATCAAAACCTTCCAAACGACATAAAGGAAGGAAATAGGATAAGAAACAATAAAATACTAGTTTAGGCATATATAAGTCTTATTTATGTACTTGTTAACATTTTACTTAAGTATGAACATAGAAATAGTTTAATACCATATAGGCTCAATGCACGCAAGACAGACAGAAAATAAGACAAGAATTATCATAATAATAGTATGATGTGCATTCACATGACACATCGTCTGCGTCCGCGACATTTGGCTCATTGTTAGCGATGCCATCAATTATATTATTCCTAGTAAACACCAATAAGGACAGCGGTATGAATATGCAATATCGCCGCGAGATCCGAAACAGGTCTTTATCGGGGGCTGCCACCCTGTCACATAGACTAAGATCGAGTGCCGTTGAGGAGATTTTAATGGAATACACGCTATGCACTAGCAAAATGGCAACGTTTATTTGTTTACATACGTCTGCATATCCTTTATTTTGAAAGAGTAAAGTAAAAACAAGCTAAGGGAATAGTGTAGTTACAGTCGGCCAAGGACCAACACTAGAATATATGCAGATACGTTAGCGGTGTTGAAAAAGATACATGTTCACTGCTTGAAGGATTTATAATTCGGATATAGTTAGTTATAGATATGGTTTATATGTAGTTTAACGAGCGTTACGAAAGAAACAACCTTTGTGATACTCAATAATATATGCATTATCCCTGATTCGCAGCTGCTGTTTTTGGTTAATAAAAAAATACAGTATTTTTGCATTTCAGCGCCATCTATTGATGATTTTAAAACTTCTTTTCGGAAAGGTCACAAACCACAAAGCAGAATACATTCATTTATTATAGTTTCAAATATTTCTAAGAGATGTCTCTGCAATTATTTTTTTTCTGGATTAATTAATTTAATCATCAATTTATAATATACGTATTCAATCTTTGACGTATTACAAAAAAATAATAATTTTTGAAAACGTGGGTTTGTTTTTAATACAAAATTAAATGTACTTTTCTCAAAATGAAAAAAGAATATAGTGTTACTTTTTCACGATAAAAATAAATAGAACTAGTTTCAAATTAATGTACATACACAACACAGATAGTAAAACAATAATAAAAAATAGTAAACCCAAGACTCTTTTTTGTATTAGTCTATCTTATGTATTTTTGGAACAAAAGGAATGGGTCTGATTATATTGGTCGGGCTGATACCGTGCACTCACTCCCGGCCGCTATCCCACTACTGCCCGATACGGGGACTTTTGGCTGCTGGGTTTCCCCCCTGGCCCGGTTCGCCCCTCCTTAGTTAACCTGCAACTTCCAGACTCCTCCGGATGTTCCATATCAATACCGGGCTTAGTGTGGACGTCCAGTCAACATGAGCCACACGGCACCAGGACTCCCGACCTCAAACCATCCTCCAAGCCCGACCTCCGAGCAGCCGGATTACAGGAGACGCCACGCTCCCAGTCGACAAACGTAGTGAAAATATGCATTCATTTATACGTGACCGTAGTTCGATTCTGTTTCGTTCGAATGAAAATATTTTCTCATCGTATTGTAATTTTTGAAAACATTTTTTCCTTAAATCTAGTAACGTTTTCAGATATTCACAAACAGTTTTTATAAGATGTTATTTCTATTTAAGTTGTGAATGTTATAAACTACAAGATAAATTACAAGATAAAAAATAAACTAATCTAATTTTAACAAACTATAAATATTACTTGCTTCCAAATAAATTTAATAATAGTGCCATCTATGTGAGAATTGTTAAAACTCGTCAAAACTACCACGAATTCACTGATTATTTTCATATTCTTTTATAGATGGCGTGGCTGTAAAGCCATTAAATATTTTTTTTTTACAAATTAAAACAAAACATGAGAAATAAAAAAGTAAATAAATGAGTAATTCCAGCATTATACAAAAAAATAGTACAAAAAAAAAATAAAAAAAAAATAATCAAGATCTGAAAACCGAACCGAACTACGGTCCTATAAATGAATGCATATTTTCACTACGTTTGTCGACTGGGAGCGTGGCGTCTCCTGTAATCCGGCTGCTCGGAGGTCGGGCTTGGAGGATGGTTTGAGGTCGGGAGTCCTGGTGCCGTGTGGCTCATGTTGACTGGACGTCCACACTAAGCCCGGTATTGATATGGAACATCCGGAGGAGTCTGGAAGTTGCAGGTTAACTAAGGAGGGGCGAACCGGGCCAGGGGGGAAACCCAGCAGCCAAAAGTCCCCGTATCGGGCAGTAGTGGGATAGCGGCCGGGAGTGAGTGCACGGTATCAGCCCGACCAATATAACCAGACCCATTCCTTTTGTTCCAAAAACCTATGTCCAATTAACCAACATACATTATCTCAATCTAACATTCTTTTATAACAATTCAATTAATTACATTTTTTTACACACTTATTACACACTTATTACGCAAATAAAATCAACAAAGCATAGTTTTTAAAATCGTCGTAATTACGTATTACATATAAAAATCGTCAGCATCAATGCACAGCTTTTATTGCTGTTTACTTTTCGTTTTGTCTAGATTAAAGCATAGATAGCATAAATATATTTAGACATAAATACGTCTATCTAGATATAATGAGCCAAAAAAGGAAAGATAAGTTTTTGTTCATAAGATTAATTCTGTATTCAGACAGCAGCAGGTCGGAGCGCTCTCCAAGACTCGAGTGGGCAACGCAATGAGCAGCCCACTTACACATTGTAACAAACCACTCGAAAATATCCCAACAGAAAAATATTTCCATTCGTTACTTGAATCAAGATTTGTAATTTACCTTTAACTTGAAACTTACTATAGATATTTTATATTATAAATAATAATTGTATAACACTAAGTTCATACATTTTTATCAACATTTAAAATTAGGAAAACAATTTTATGTCAAAACGATTATTTGCTATTTTTTTTCGCCAGGGTTACGCATTTGAATTAAGATATCAATGCGATAGACTTAAACGTTAAACTATGACAACATTAAAAAAATTGGCCATCCTGCATTTGAATTTTATTTATAAAGTGGACAAATAGTTGTAATAAATATAATAAAAATGTCGATAACCTAATCTAATGAGTAATTAAACCTTCAATTGATGTGACAAAAGATAAGGAAAGTCGTCATAGTACATAGTTAATCATGTTACCTCTCACTTTATAGATTATCACATTAAAATACATAACATAAAATTTAATACATTCATTAAAATCATTTAAGAACTTTCACTTCTGAAATCTTTATCGTGATAACCTATAATTAACTTTTCAAAAACTTTATTTTTTAAACTTACCTTTTAATTATTGCACACTAAAACTATGTAACTATACAATTTAACACTAAAACTATCCAATACTATCGTAAATATTGTTTTGCTGTTTTAATTTTACAGTCAGAAGAAACTATTAACTTAACAATATGAAAAAAATAAATTCACTAAAATCTCATAACTCGCCAGGCGCCAGTTATGTTTGACAGTTTGTTTTTTAATTGCATCGACAAAGGCTAAGATATCGTATATAATCAGCCAAGTGAAATTATCCACAAATGAAAACATAATTTATTTCTAATACAATCCAAACGAATAGAAATAGAAAATTAGATTAATAATTAAAACATAACTGTAACTGCATTTCAAACAATTTTATCTTAAAAATTAAATTAACTAACATAAAGTTTATTGCATTGTAAAAAGTTAATTAATTAAATTAGAAAACTCGTAAGTGTGTTTAAATATCCTAAACACATACGAGTAACAAATGTAGAGCAAAGTGTATTGACCTAAGGTTCAAAAGAGGTTAATAAACTATTTATTAGAAAGACTGGCAACTAATAAACGTCTAAAAAAAAATATTTTAAAAATACCCTAAAATTATTTTGGAACAGTCGTCATAGTTACGAAATATTTGAAGGAATTTAGAAAAATTGAAGATTGACACGGACCTAGCGTTTTTTGTCTCGAAAAAATTGAATATTACAAAAATAAATGATGCTTGGTGATGAAGAAATAAAAGAAAGTAGCCTCATGAGACCCGGCGACGAGATTATAAGGTTTGATATTCAATTATTTCCCGAAACAAAAGGCCGACTCGACCATATTGATTTATATTTATTTTGTTCATTTTATTTAACAATTGTAATTTGTTGCAGCATCCATGAAGTTTGTTTAACTGATAAATTTTATAAAAAAGATTTGGGATTTGGGAATGAAGCACTTTTTACCACTTCTTCTAAGAACGAAGTAAGTTTTCAGATTTATAATGCCTATAGAATTTTATGGTATTTTTGAATGGTTATATATCCATTATTAATACTTTTTTTTATTAAACACTAATTCGTTTCAATAATTCATACAGAGGTTATTACTATAAGCAAAAGGGCCCAGTCTTTTTATAAAGGCTGTAGAAATAACTAGCAATTTTGCATCCAACTAAGAAAAATACGATTCTGCCTTTCTCGCCTCGCTGGAGGCACTGTCGCACCTATGTTTTTAATTTATTAACCACCAGTCATTTTTTTTAAAAGACGGTAACCTGAAATTTTTGGTTACACCTTTAGCCTATGGACAAGCGAAGCGAAGAAGGAACGCAGAGTTAGCTCCGTATAATGACCCTATTACGGTTAACCACCGTAATCAACAAATTATGTGTCAGTTTTATAAAAAATGACGCGTTTTATGTATGACCTTGACGCAGCATGTCAAGTAACGTCATATCGTGAAACCATTGTCAACCGCTTTCGTTGCGCGTGCGTTTCGCTATGTATGCGGCCTTAACCAACTAGATAAATTACCAATTTCGAATGGTAGTTTTGTTTGGGTTTTGGTAGAGTCGCATTATGATTGTTGTATGATTTATAGTTGGAGGTACCTCGTTTCCTTCGCGATGGCTTCTATCCTGAGGGTTCAGAGCAGCAGGCAAGGTTCGCATGGACGGAGGAAGATGGGAACATCGCTGCTCTCGTCTCCGAGCCGGGATTCGGGACTACAGGACAGACGACATTCGGCAAAGATCTGGATGTGCAGTTGAAGACTGATATGGTAATTACTTTAGGGAAATACCACACGGGCGATGCGGCAATAATGACGCCGTATGGGCTGACTTTTACAACTTTGACTTATACAATCCAGTTAGTTGTTCATGTTTCTTACACCTGCAATAATTTTACATTGTGAAAACAATAAGTGATAAATATTTTTATATATGATAAGGTGGTAAGCATTCAAGTGGATACCAGAAATCGCCGAAATGCGAAGTAACCGCCGCTCATAGATATCTGCAATTTCATATGTCGTACCTAACGACTTTTGCTACGCTGCTTTTTGTTTTTCTTATTTTTAGAAGAAAAGTACGAGCTCTGTGTTCGAGTCGTCATTGAGTAAGAAAGTACATGCAGAGTCATCAATAGTTTCCTCTACTTCTACGTCGAATACAGGTAATTTATTCATCGATCATTGTACTCTGCTTTCCTTAAGATGTGCCTCTAAGCTTCATTCCTCCAGCCTTTCTCATCTGGTCTTCCATCTATACTTTTATTCTAATGTAATAAAGATGATTGTATTTTTGTATGTATTGAAATAACTCAAAAACTACTGGGTCGAGTTCAAAATTTTTTCACCATTAAAAAGCTACTTTATCGCCGAGTAACAGAGGAACATAGGCTGGCTATGTTTTTAAATTAAACGTGGACGAACTCGCGAGAAATTAATTATTCGAACAAGCAAACAGTTAAAAGATGGTTAATAAGTGATTTATTGATTACTAGCTGTTGCTTGCAAAATTCTCCCAGGTTCAATTAAAAAAAATAGCCTATGTTACTCGCTAATAACGTATCTTTCTAATGGTGAAAGAATTTTTTAAATCGGCCTATTAGTTTTTGAGTTCTTTCAATACATACAAAAATACAAATATTTCCTCATTATGACATTAGTATAGATTAATTGATAGGACTTTAATTTAATTATTCTATACTAAATAGTGTATTTTTTATATTTGTGTAGGAAAATACAACCAGACCGCGTGTAAGATAGACAAGGCGGACCCTCGCTCCAGGTATCATTACGTGAAATATGTGAAGAGACACGGACGGACTGTCAAGCTGTGGGAGTGTGGGATATGTAAGTACTTATTAATAAAAAAAAAAACTAACTAGTTCCTATAAAATGTATTGTCATATGATTAATTAATCCTGTCTGAAATTGGTTTATTGCAACCAAAACAATTTAACTTATAAACAAAATGAATTTTTATTTTATTTTTGTTCTTCGAGATTATCCTCTACGTCTATGCCAAATTTAATCGTCATCCGTTCAGTCGTTAAGGCTACAAACTCTAACAAACATCCATCCATCTAAACTTATGCATTTATGATAGTTCATAGGAATACATTTTTTCGACTTTACCAATTACCATACAAAAGTGCTAATTTTGTGGCTGGAGTCAGGCAGCCGCGACTTCCAGCACCAGTACACGTTGATGCGCCACTTGCCGACGCACACGGACGAGCGCAACTTCCACTGCGCCGCGTGCGGCAAGAGCTTCCGCCAGCTCTCCACGCTCAGCCAGCACCGCGCCATCCACTCCGCCGACAGGCCGTACGCTTGCGAGGTCAATAACTGCAATGTTCTGTCGTTATCGTTAATGGAACAGGAGTGCTGTGTGCTGCTAACACCAAATTTATTACAGTAGTAACTATAGCAGCGTTTACCAATTTAACACTTAACACTTAACTCTAAAATGCATGATGATGCATTTATAGATCTGACTGATTGAAAGATAATTTTTTTCTTTTTGTTCCCTTAATCTGTGTTCAATTTACTACACGTTTCAATTTATGGTACGTAAAATTAAAAAAAAATCGTGCATTTAAGGGTTAAGGAGGATAATTCATAGAATATGGGAGCATAAAAAATTAAGAAATATTAATGCATGGCACATAAAATACGGGAAACACTACAGAGGCTCTAGTAAGTCTCTACTTATACCTAATTAGAAGTACATGAATAAAATTAGACAGAATTAGGATATTCGATTTGTGATAACGCTAATATAACCAGTCTCTGTTTATTTCTATAATTTTTTCTTCTACTTTTCTACTAGGAAGTTATAGAATAGAGGGTTTTTCAAAATATGCAATTTTGTTCAACTGTTTATCCTTAGTTTACAATATTACTGAACAATCGTGTTATTCGTACTTAAACCAGGTGTGCAATAAGACTTTCAACCGCGTGTCGACGTTGATCTCCCATCGCAAGACACATTCCGACGAGAAGCCCTACAAGTGTCACATCTGTCCCAAAGGATTCCATCAGAAAGGTTCCCTTCCTAGATCCTTATTCCCTTCATTATTCTTATTTCACCATACTCTTTTTAACACCACATATTCACTGTTTGAATCGTTATCCTATTCCTATAATGTAAATCCAATCCATCCAATCCAATTCGATAAATATTCGATATGCTTTTTAATTTTGAATGAATTCGATGTTTTAGGAAATCTACGCAACCATCTGTTCACGCATACCAACGAGAGACCGTATAGATGCAATATTTGCTTCAAAGGATTCAACCAGCAGTCGAACCTCGTGTGTCACAAGAATAAGGTAATTATTGTAGTTCTTTTACCTTTATTTTCATTTATAGAAATGAAACAGAATGTCTAGTGAATGCACATGTAGAAAAATTTGCCAACGTTCGAGAGACTAAAAATTAACTTAGTACTAAGATAAACATTTCTTAATATATGTTTTTTATTTTTAGTTACTAATTACTTTTTCTATGTTATGATAACATCTAGAAATACTAAGTACATTTTACTATCACACTAATATTATAAATATTAAAGTTCGTTGGATAGATGGATATTTCTTAGAAGATACTCCGTAACTCCTCAATGGATTTCGATGAAATTTGGCACAGATGTAGAACATAGTCTAATAAAACAAATAAGCTTTTTTTAATTCTGAGGAACTAGTATTAGTGATGTAATGTTAGGTATAAATCCAGGCGCATCCAGACGACACGAGCAGCGCCGCCAGCCCCGACGTGCGCCCGCAGAGACCCGCCGCCGACACGCAGCCTGACTCTACCAGGTCAGATAAAATATCTTTTACAAAATTACACTAATAATTGTTACTTAATAGCTAAAACATAGAATAATTGATGTTTTCACTGGTGTAGTCAAATTCAATAGAATTGAGAAACCATTGTACACAAAGTACTGTTAAAAGACTATCACAGACTGAACAGACCATGTTTCTATAATCACTTTAAATGTTCTCCAAAATTAATCCATAAACAAATCATAGTATAGAAATGTGTAAATAAAATTTTTATTTCCATTATATTCTATTAAGAGCGTAGGTGGCTCCGTGGTTTAAGCACTTAACGTGTAATCTACAGGTCTTGGGTTCGAATCCCGCCGTACCAATGTGATTTTCGATTTTTCGAATTTTCATATGTACATAATTTACCCGATGTTCTTACGGTGAAGGAAAACATCGTGATCCCTGCAAATATCGGCGAAGAAATTCAAAGATATATGTGAAGTCAAACAACCCGCACTTGGCCAGCATGGTTGACTATGGCCTAGTCACCCCTTTTTAGAGTAGGCTCCAAGCCCCTCGGTGGGGACATGTAGTGAGCTGGTGATGATGATGATGATATTCTATTAGCCATTAAAATTTATGGATTTGCTGAAGAACCCCAAAATTTGGAAAACTTAATTAATCAATCCCAAACAGATGCAGAAACTAACAACAATAAGATCCTATATGAATATCAAAAACATTAAAATTTCAGACAAACGAACGAGCATTGCGAAGTTACCTCAACTGTAGGTCCCTTTTTACCAGCAGTGGAAACTCCGTCTTCCACTTGGAACCCCAAAGATAACTTCTGGTCGGTACCCAAGTATTTCCCGGACCCGATAGACGCGTGGTGCTACACCAACCCCATGACTTGGAACGGAGGAGGCGTGATTGTGGATCAGATCAAGACTTACCACATGGGAGTTGCTTTGGCCACCAGACAGACACCCTTCGCACTCCTCAAACCTGAGAAAGGTGCTCCTGTTCTTGTTAAAGTCGTTGATACAAAACTTCCTGGAGGGAAACAGGTTCGTGAATTTGTCAATTTGTGTAAATTATAATTCACTAGCTGTTGCTTGCGACTTCATCCGCGTGAAATTAAAAAATAATAAAAAAAATAGACTATGTTACTCACTGATAACGTAACTTTTGATAGTAAAATTTTTGAAATGGGCTCAGTAGTTTTCGAGTTTTTTTAATACATACTAAAGTACTAATCTTTGTAATGTTAGTATAGATTTCGTTACAGTGAAAAAGGTTCCATTAACAGTTTCAATAAGTATCATTCTTTTTCCATACAAACAAAGTTATCTTATTTCTACTCGTGTACTAATAAACTAAATTTGTTGAAAATACGAAGACTGATCTTCTGACAGAATCTCAAGTTCAGAAGATTTTCATCAAAATAATTATATTTGTATTTGTATATTGTCTGTAGATGTTGGTGCCGGCGACCGCTGCAGACTTGAGAGACGGCGGCAAGATTATTGTGAAGAATGAGGACAATTGCAGTACTCAGGTGAAGTATAAAAGTATTAGTCCTCCATCCATGGACAAATTGTAAAGGCGTCCATCATGAACGTCTCTAGCTACCCCCCTCTTTAAAAATCTAATAATACCACATCTTTGAAAGTAGCCCCTCTATATCATAGTATATATCAAGGGCTGGCGATAAAGATACTGTCGGTGCTTCTTTCGGTGAAAGAACTACAAATAAAGGTTTATCGAAAAATATAAAAAAAAAAACAGTCATTAAATGTAGAGCATTGAGATATGCTTTGGAAGTTTTAATACTTTGATGCTCTGTGTACATTTATATCAAGCCTTTGCTGCTTCGGAGTTGACAATAACTTGGACTTTGTGGTGACTATTTTAGGAGGTGGAGGTGCAGGTGGGGGGAGGCGGTGTGGGAGGTGTGGGAGGTGTGGGAGGTGGTGCGGGGGGAGGTGGCGGTGCGGGCGCGGTGCAGATCCGCGTGCCGGTGGTGGCGACGGTGGTGCCGCGGCTGCAGGCGGGCGGGCGGCTGCAGCTCTGCGTGGAGGAGCCGCACCACGCGTACCACACCGCGCTCTCCACACACGGTAATATAACTAGTCCTTCATCTTACTTCATACTAATATTATAAATATGAAAGTTTAGATGCATGGATTGGGTGGATGTCTGTTAGAGTTTGTAGTCTAAACGGCTGAACGGATCTCAATGAAGTTTGTCCTAGATGTAGAGCATAGTCTGGATATTACACATAGGCTTTTTTTAATTCCACGCGAACGAAGTCGCGGGTGAAAGCTAGTAAAAAACTGGTACACATGAAGCAAATCTATTACGAGTAGCAAGACTTCTGGTCTTGGATAATATAATGGGCTTCTAACGTTTTCACTTAATTTGTCAAAGGAATAAAACTCGTGTTACGTAGTTCAGAAACGCTTGCCATAATGTTTTCGAACCAAAAATACTAACGAATGGTTGAACTCTGCTGGAAAACAAGCTATTAGAAAAGTAGAGTTACCCGAATTACATGTTGGTTAGACTTACTTTTAATTTCTGATGCAGCAATTAAGTTCTGCTTTCAGTTTGATGTTGAGAAGTCGTAACATAAGTTTGTAGAAGCAGTCAATTTGGTAAAAAGAAGAGTAAAAGTCTTAAAATGCCCTTATATAATTAATTGAAATTCTAGCTGGTGAAATCAACGTGGGTCCCTGCGTCAGTCATAGAACTGGACCCGAGAGTCCCAAAGTGCAGCGAACTGATGACACTTCTGACAGATTTGATGATCCCATGATACGATCAGGTATTACTGAATTCTTTACTGTTTATAGAAATAACATTAGTGCTAATGTATTCAATTTTAAATTTACTAATTGGTGTTTCTTGGTTACCTTTTCTAGTTTTTCATTTGCCACAAATTACCGTGTTTGATCGCTTTTTTTTTAAATCAAGCAAAAACTCATTTAAAATCATTATACGAACCATCATTGAACCAATATAAGTATACAGAAGACAGGCGTCAATTTAGGGCAATTTCACTTCTCGTCTGATGAGTATGTTGCTGGAGGCCTCATTTTAGTCATGTTTCCCTTCTCATCCTTTTCCTATAAGGCGAGGAGGGAAGGGAAGCTGGATTTGATGGTGGAGGAGCCTCATAGGAACCGAAATGTCTTTATGTGTGTCTCCTCCTGTCGATTAAGGGTAGGCAGCAGTCGCTTCGCAATTTTGGCGGATTTATTTGGCCTCTTGCTCGTTTGCCACATTATTATACAAAAAAGCTATCTGGAATCTAAAGCTTTAGAATCTCGCTAGGATGGTTTAATCTGCTCTTGTTACTTTGAGCTGGTTTTGGTTTTACCTTCGGGTTTGCTTTCAGTTTAGCATTCGGTTTCCCTATATCTTTTTCTTGTAGTTTAGGCTTTATGAGTGTTTTTCTATTTATCAATAAATGTCTTTACTTTGAATCTGGTTAGTTTAATATGTTTTGTAGTAACTTGTATGTGATGCGAGTGCTTGTACCAGGCGGCTGCAGGTCGGTGTGCGCGCTGCCGCCGCCCGCGCCCTCGCCGCCGCTGGACCTCATACCGATGGACTTGTTTGAACCCATCGAGTGTCTGCCCATGGGTTAGTTGAATACGTTTATTATATTAACAAATATACAGAAAAAATAATTAAGAAATGGGTATAGCAAACTAGAGGACCGTGGACAAAGGCTGGAATATACTAGACCAAGCCAAGGCCTACAAAAGGCTGTAGTGTTAGAGAAGTAGAAGCCATACACAAATAAGATAAATCATAAATTGTAAAGGATTCATTAGCACCGTGATAATTAAGGTAAGGTAGCTAATTTAAAGAAAAATGTAACTCGCCTTGCGACACAGTAAAAGGAAAAAAATAACTACACAATGATACAAATGTTTACTCTGATATGTTTTAAGGATATCACCCACTCTTTGTTTAAAGACCGCAAATTTTATTAAAACATGTCAAAATTAGTGAGAAAGTAGAAAGAAATAGAGAACCTGTTGTTAATGTGGTTAGTTCGAACTAGAATTACCTAAAAATTGTTTTTTGTTTTTGTGTTACTGTTAGGTTTATTAATGTACTGTTTTCCTTCAATAAACAAATTAAGATATTTATTTTTACTCCAATATATGTTTCTAAGTACTTTAGCATATTAAAAAACTATGATTAATTAATTTCCAGGGCCTCAGATCACAGCCGTGGACAACGTGCACCAGCCGCCGGGTTCTGACGACTCTGACATATTCATTGGTAGCTTTGAGGTTAGTGTGTTTTTTAAATTTAACCCTCATTTTAATTTACCACCCTTCTAAATCAAGTAAGGCTTTATTCTCATAGAAATCGTATGCCTTTATTTATTTGATTATCTTCATGATAGATTCTTAACGGAGTATATTTTTCAGGAAAGCATTCCACTCTCTGATTCCGATTAAAGCAAACCATACCAAGCTTTTTTTCATTGAACGCATGACCTTGAAGTATTCATTTTCTTACTTAGTATTAAGTAAAACTTTGTTATTTGATAATATACAAGGAATTTTATGTTTTGTGTTTTATTGGCTTAAAGAAACGATCTTATAAATATTAACAAATTTCGTTATGAAATACTAGCTTTCGTCCGCGACTACGTCCGAGTGCAGTTTAAAAAAAAACTTTATGTACTCGTTCAGACCATGCTCTACATCTGTGACAAATTTCATCGAAATCCATTCAAACGTTTAGGCTACAAACTCTAACGAACATCCATTTGTTTAAACTTTTGCATTTATAATATTAGTAAGATGAATATTGTAACGGACATGGAGAAGGCAATTCCTGTCTTTTATAACTGTTGATGCAACTCGATGATAGATGGCGATAGTTGTACGAATTGAAAAGATTTTAATGGTGTGAAGTAAATACGTCCCGGTTACAATGAATTGTTTATTTTATAACAACTTGTGTAGATCAAAGGTGTTTATATTAATTCTAAAGCAATTTACGATATCTGAAAGTATTAGAATCTTACTTTTTACAACTACATCATATAAGTATAAATTATAGAAATGCTATTTTTAAGTTCTGTAAATAAACTTGAACATTGATTGAATATATTATTAGTACTGTAATTTTAAATGTAAGATCATTGGACAGGAAATATCATTGCGGTTGTGTCCATTATAATTTAAATTACACATTTCAAACGTATTGTATTGCGCTTTGACGCGTCAATTTACAACTAATGACTAGTCAGAAACCGCAACAAAACAGAGAACTTTATACAGCGTTTAGAGTTGACTAGGAACGTTGGTGCAATAAAACGCGAATTACTCTGGACCAATTTTTTACCAAAGCCGAGCGCGTGCCCGGCACGTGAGTGAAAATATTAAAACTGGTGTCGGAGCTGACACGAGGCTTTTCCCACCAATAAATAGAGAAATCTTCTGATAGCCCTATTCTGTTTAACCACACATCATTAACAAACAAAACTCAACCTTATCTAATACACAGTTAAGTGCAAATTCATTTGTAGTGAAATCAAAACTACAACTAGTCTCATTTTTATTGGATTGCATCTAATTTCTTGGATGTTTAGGTTGATATTGCATTGTGTTGAATTCTATTTAAATTAGGGTTGCCCTCAATGGTCCAATACCGCCCCCGACGGTTATCGAATAATGCGTCGGCACGTGTGTACTGGCGCTTTTTTATCGAATTTTTATTTCGGCGTGCGAACTTAGAAGTGGCGTCCGCTGCAGACTTTGCCCTACAATGATCCATTGTGTACGACTTAGAAGATTTACGATAAAAATGTTCTCTCCTTAGCAACAGATCGAATTCAATTAAATGCTGTAAATGCAGTTGATTGTTTTAAATAATAATCAATGATACTTTCTCTTCTTATTTGTGTTATAATTCTTATATAAGAGAAATAATTCTACATCAAGTTATATATGAACATTTGCATTTTATTGAACTAAATATTGAAAAAGGTTAAAGAAATCTTATGGATGTTCCAAATATCACTCGTAGTTTGTTCTACTCCATATTCACATGAACATAGGTGCTTTTAAATCTAAAGTTATATGCAAATAAATAATTATAAAAAAAACATACAGACAAATTGAGTACCTCCAAGACGTCGGTCAAAAATATTAACAATGATTAAAGCTTGTTAATGATTTGTAACTCAAAATAAGCCTGTTAACAAATTTTATCATTAAAACTAACATAAAGTATAATTTCAATAAAATATCATTAAAACAAACAAACACGAGGCGAGAACTAATCCCACTCAAGGGACAATAGTCCCCTCAAATATCATTTCATATTTTGATTATGATATCAATGTCGCCCACTGCCAGTGCCCGGCTTTTTATATCCATTGTTGGATAATACACATATTAACCCATTAAAAGTCGCGTGCCGACATAATGTCATATTTCACACGTATAATGAAATTGTTGTATTTGTTATTAATGGATTTTTATTGTGAGAGTTAGTTTTTTATGTGTGAAAAGATCAGAGACGAATCGTTTATGTAAATTGTTATTGTAGTTTCGTTATGTCGAAGGAAATTAGGTTTTTTTTTAAAGATTTTACATTGCTTATAAAAAGTACTGGTAGTATCTGAGGACTTTTAGAAACTTTTTCACTACTGAATACTAGATGGCGTTAGTAGTAACAATTTTTACAAATCTGTAAATTCATATCCTTCTAACAAAAATTGTTATTGATTATGTTTATCTACTTTTCATACTAGTATTGTTTAAAAAATAACTTTTTTTACTAACCATTCAATAACCGTTCACCAAATACGACAATAAAATTCGACGACAACTCAGCAAATAAATATCGTAACATTAAGAACTCTTTTTTTACAATTGAAGCTAAAACTATTAAAATACCCAATTATAGAATACAGAAAGCGATGTCATAGCTCATTACTTGGCAACTGCATCGAATGTGTTCGGATTGAGATGTAGCTCCCATTGTAGGCGACGGGTGTAATCCGGTGCGCGCGGCGGTCACGTGGCCGACGGATGGACCCCTTAATTATGGAAACACTGACGAAGTGTGTCACATTTTTAGTAACCCTCCTTAAAGTTTGTTGAGGTTTTAGTTGTACAATTGTTAAATAGTCGAATGTTATATGAAAGAATTTGCTGTTGCGTGTATTCGTATGGATTTCGCTCGATGACCATGCATGTAGTTTTTTCAAAGAGACTACAATACCTTATTAGTAGAGTACTTTGTCGGTGGCAAGTGTAAAGACAGCTACATTTTATTTTAACTGTACAGTTGAAATTGTAGAAGTATGTGACTTGCTTGAATGGAAATAAATGTTACTTTCATACTCCAAAATGAATCATAATTGCAATTAGGGCAATCTTGTATTGTACAAATAATTTTAATCTTTAAAGGTATATTTGAAATATACAATTGATCTACGCTTCGAAATTATTGTTAGCTAACGTTAGTTTTTTGTAGAAATAAACACTAGAAAAAGTAAAAATATTACAATACATGTTTTGTTACATAGAAGGATTTTTCCGCTAAGAAATCTCAAAGGAAGTACGCGTTCGGTACCATTTCAAACGGCGAGATTTCAATTCGCCACAACTATTGCAATATGGAACTTTAAAAAATCAATCGCAGAGTCGGCTGCTAGCAGATTACGCCGCCATACGTCACGCATGGCTAGAGAGGCAAATTGTTCTCTAACCTGATTACAACTGCTAGTTCGACATTGTCTTCATTCCCTCCCCTTTACCCCCTTTTCCCTCCCAATTCGTATCCCGAGCCCCGTGGCTTTTAGGGTGCACTTGTTGTAGGTTATTGTTTAACTAGAAGTGCCTTTTTATTTAAACTTTTGATGCATAAGGGATTGGAAGCATACGTTTTATTTTGTTCCTTCTATTTATTTCTAAGGTTTTGATAGATGTGGAATTGCATATCTGGGGTTACATATTGGGGGTTGCATATTGTTACTCTGTTCTTTATACAGTATCTCTTTGCTAATGGTTTTATTTATTTTAAAGTATTTCGATTGTTAATTTCAAGCTGAGCGTCGAAAATGTATCCAAAAAAATATTCCTCAATCGTTTAAAATAAGGATAAAAGCATCAAACACTTCTGCCAATTCATTTCAAATACTAAACACAAAAATTAAATGTTTACTTGGCAATTTACATATTATAATGAATGATAACTTATCCAGTACTAAAAGATCTGTGATCGGTTTCAACTAGTTTTCTATATAAACTCATTATATTTCAATAGGCAACGAGGAGTTTTGAGTAATTCGGTTTGGATGTGGTTAGAAATCTCCCATTGTGCTTTTTATTCATTTATTATTTGATTGTTATTATTGATATGAAATATACGAAATTTTTTAAGTAAAAACGAATGTTGTAGTAATAGAAGATTTTTTGGAAATACTGCGTTAATGTAACATCGACGGAAATGTAACCAAAAGATTTCATATCTTGTTATATCTGTAGGTATATTTCGTCATTATGTACATAATAGAACACATAATTATTTCCATTTCGAAAATAACCTGCTGTGTAGGTAGAGCCAGATGTAGAGTACTAATTAAAATTGAAAAAGCTCGATCTTGAAAACTCTTACCTTTGTAATTTGTATATTAAAGTATACTTTAATGATGCTTGTACATAAGAGATACATTTTGATAGTAAATTGAATCACATGAGTGTTGTACATTACTACATAGTAAAATGCAAAGTTTCCCGTTGTCAGTCCCTATGTAAACTTAAATCTTTAGAACTATGCGACGGATTTTGATGCAGTTTTTTTAATATGTAGAGTGTTTCAAGGGGAAAGTTTATATGTAAAATATAATAGAGAAATACTCATAATTGAATTTCTAATGTGATGTAAATAAACACATTTTCCTGTCAGTGGTCGCTAAAATCTTTAATAGCCTTAATAAAAAGACTTTCTATTATTGTCAGTAATATAGTTTTCACTGGAAAACTAACCACTGGGTAACAAATCTATAAACATTGTCACACTTGTAAATTCGATACTTATATTGGTATTATTTCAGAAAATTACCAAGAAGAATGTTAGAAGACATGAGCTTTTATCCTTTCGTCTAAAATAAACTAAGTTGCAGAAACAACTTATTTACTCACCCAAAATAAATATTCAGGTGAATTGCTGAGTGCACGGGAATACATCAAACATGACAAGTTACTTACTGGAAGAGTCAATTGTTAGTTTAGATTTTTTTTACCTTTCTAAATAACGTATTTCCTTTGTTATGGACTAGATATTTATTATAAGTGGATTCGACATTGCGTAACAATTTCTTTTAAGTTATTTAACTTTTTTCTAACCATAGAAAGGTAAATTAAAATTACACAATTTATATGCTTTTTTCAATAAATAAAACTGTATTACCCTATATAAAATGAACATAGTTTTAATAAAACAATATAAAAGCTTAGACGAAGTAAGTCAATATGCATAATAATTCCTTAAGAGATGTCAGTTCTGGGAAAGTTTTGTCTGTGACGGCGGGCCGGGCGCCGTCT